TTTTTAAAGCAGAATCATTCTTAGACTCAGAAAACCAAGGGTGGCACAGTATAGCCTGATACATAAAGCAAAGGACCAGGACTTTACATGGGCCTTTTCAAAGCCAACTTAAAGTACCAAGTGTTGATTTTTAACACAATGCTGGAAACCATTCCAAGAGGTGGCAGATGGTTTTACAGTTTATGTAAAACTACAAAATGCTCACACTTTATCAAATGGGCACCACTATAAAAGACATCTTCAAATCAAATGAGCCAAAGCTGTGGAGATACACCAGCTGTTACTCTGCATAATTTAAAGCAGAGGAGTAGCATGACTATGGTTTGTTTTTAAGGAAAAATTATTTGAATTTCACAAAATTGACATATTCAAAACCAAACTGACAAGCAGACTAGTATATTAAATGATAAATTGCTAAGAAACACAATTTTTACTTCAATATAACTGTGACAGCCACATAATTCTAACCCCTGGTGTTTTGGTGAATCAGGCCAAAATGAGTCAAAGTCAAGCTATGGAGTCTGTAATTACAGTACTATCACTGGAACAACTTTTAAATGATCTTAGCGTAATTTAAAATGATTAATTCTAAATGATTTTTTCAATATCTAAGTCCATACAAATGGGTACAGTCATTTATAGAAACATACACACAACACTTAAAATATGAAATCAATTCATTTTCTTCTAGTACCAATTACCTATGATGGTTTTGAAACATAAAAACTTAGTAATGTGTAATATATTTTTAATATTGGTTTGGGTTTCATTAATGTCTTTTGACCTACGCTAAATAGTAATGATGAAAAATAGACCATTTGCTTAAAAGCAGAACTGTTATTAAATCTAAAATATTGTGGCACAAAATCAAACCACAAAAGGGTCCACATTATGTTCCCCCTTGATTTTCTAAAGAAAAGTAATGAAGGTTTCCACACAGGGCCACATGAAAATGAGACACTCAAATTTACTCAAGCAAAGACAGGTTCTATAAAATTAAATCCCTTTCTAGTACCTTGACTGTAATCCTAACAAGCCACTACGTTTTTTCAGTTAGCAGGATAATTTTTCCAGGGTGAAAAGAAGTGCAATTCATTTTGTCATTGTTGCTAAAATTTTTTGTCAAATCAGACTTTGAGTTGAAAGGCCTGAGTCGTATTAGCCTATCTTAAACTGTAGCTTTATTTTAAACTTCCGTATTTTATTCCAGTAGAATTTTAAGTATACATTGGTCACATTCCTCAGGTCCAGTCATATTAAATTCTGATGTTAAGCAGAAAGGGGAAACCATGTGCAACTAGATTAATTTATCTCAAGGGAAAAAGGGCACATTAATAATTGAGATAATGTTTTCGTAAATGTTGGATTCGAATGGGCCTTTTCACTTCTTTATTAGAAAACACATTAGGATAAAATTATCTCACTCTCATCAATAAGACCTGATTGCTGAGAAAAATTCTGTTTTCTTTGCAAAACGTTCAAGATTTTTTTCCCATTACGTTAACTAGCTAGAAATGTATCACACATCCAAGTCTTGTTGGAATAAATGTATATAATCAAGGCGAGTGATTATCTAATGCACCCTATATGTAATTTTTTGTTTTAAAGTATCTGAATTTATTATTTTTTTAAATGCATTAAAATTCTGATTCTAAAAGAAACTGGCAAAAATTATGGCTAACAATTTGGACTTCAGCTTGCTAATCTCCTTAAACTATAAAAAAAAAATTACTTTGGCTTATTGCTAAAAGAAAAAAAAAGCAAGAAGAAAAGAAGAACTCTTGAAATTTCCCATAAACATTCAAAATAGTCCAAACATATTGAATGGAATATAATTACATTTAACTTTCTTGAAATTGCTGTATTTTTGAAGTACTAAGATTATACACAAAGAAACTTTAACAAAAAAAAAAATGATAGTATGCTTACAAACCAAACAAACAAGCTCTCCATGGCTGATTTCTATTAAATATTTAAAAGTCTTTTTTTCTACAAAGAAAACACAGCCTTTAATGATTAAACAAAAGAAATAACTAAGGTGAATCTGACTGTTTCTGTAATAAGCCTTCATGTGTATAATAAAGTACAGCCATACTAAAAACAATGAACTGTAAACTGAAACAAAAATCCATCATCTACTTGGAAACAGTGACGGGAAAAGATTACCAATCCATTTATTGTACTGAAATAAAGATAAGTGACCCTGGTAAGATCCATCAGGACCTGAGTATTGAACTTTAAATATAAAAGACATTTCTTCATCAGCAAATGACTTGAAAAAATGTGAAGAAGAGAAATGATTACAGTTAACTTTTAAAATGAGACAATTATGATTCAACTGCTTTTATTTTTTTTTTAATTTGCTTTATGTTCACCTGATATTTCGGAAGACATTTAAAAGAATCTGTTTTTCAAATAGATAATTATCGCATGAGTCATTAAACAATTATTGCCAAACATTTCCCATAGGCCTGTAGTATATTCCAATAACTGATTTTTTCTAATGTAAATAAGATAATGATTTTAATAATTTTACAATGGAAGTTAGGTTTGAAAGGAAGAACTACAATTTAAGAAACCATTTAATATTTAAAATCTTCTGTTATGAATGTAACTTAACTCAAATAGTCAGGTTTCAGAAGAATAATAAAGTTTAAAAATTCAAAATAAGCTCCTATTTCATATCTTAAAAATTACTAATACAAATAAAAATTTAAAACCTATTTTGAAAAATATTTTATCTTAGAAGTGGAAAATAGCACTAAGTTACCTGGCCCCAGTTAGTCACATTCTATGAGACTGATAGATTCCCAAGAGACTGATAGATTTTATGTGGTTGAAGTTTTAATATCCCTTCAACCCCCCCCCAAATGTGTGGTATTCTAATGCTTGTTATAGATGATAAAAATAAATAGATGAATCAGGTCCTGAATTTAGGAGGAGGAACTTGTAGATTGTCCAAGCATACACCCAACAAGTCTTTTTTATAACACAAAACCAACTCATGTACCCCCCCACACACACTCAACTCACATGCTCAAATGACAGAAAAAAAAATTTACTTTACATCTACCGAAGCAGCAAGAAAAAGAAAGACACTAAGAAGTCCAGTCTTTCTTATAACAGAAATTTAACTGCGTCAAGCACAAGTAAAGGTACCGCCCCCCCACAAAAAAGTTCCCTAGTTTTCAGTGTTTTCTTTCTATGTGTTGGTATATTCTGTATGTGTAGCGGCCTCCTGCCAACATCCCAATCAGAAAAGCCTTCCAAGAAAAAAAATACACACACACACCCCCAAAATGAACTGTGGGATTTTCTTTCTCATGTTATGGCTTTGTCCCCTGGCACCCTAAAAGTAGACACTCATCACAGGGCAATATAATGGTATTTAGTTGTAACGTTTCAGATCGAGCAACTCTGTAGACTGAATAACTGCTTTATATTATCCTTACAAAAGTATTGGCAGACCTTTAAGTATATGATATTAGAGTTCCTAGTAACACTACTGGAACATGAAAAGTGCCTATGTGTGTTTTATAAACTTTAAACTACATTGAAGGTTACAGCTAATTAGTCAGAAACAAAAACCAACTAGAAAATGTTTCAAAACCAGCAGCTTTGAGCCTGGGCACAGTACTCCGGCAGGTTATGACAGAGTAGCTAGCCCACTGGCTGCCATGTTCTCATCTTGGGCTGCTGGGCGAGGGGGGCTCCCACACTCAACTCCTCCACCATCAGAGGAAGCTTTTTGAGCCCTAGACCTTAGCACCCCATCCCCAACAGTCATGTGAGGGTTCTGGATAGCAAGTTTATCACAACACTGTATCTCCAGGGCCTAATATAGTGCTGGCCAGAGTGGGCACTCAGCAAAAATTTAAATGGATTATTGAGTCCCATGAGTTTTATTTACTGAATATGAGGCAGCTCACAGTAAAACTGATCATTTTGACAAGCCATTCGGCCAAGGGTGAGGGGCAAACTGTTGCAGAAACAACCGTTAATGTGCCATTAATGAAGCCTACAGGTCTGGGTCCACTTGGCCACTGGCATTTAAGAAACTTTCCTTTCTGGCTATTCACACTTAATTCTGTCACCTGCCACCACTAGTCAGATTTACATTTTGCTTAAGGATATGACTTCTAGCATCCTGTACTTAATATATAGCTCTCCATAGGTGGAGGTGGCTAAACCAGGTAGGAGGATTCCTAAGGCTAAGTGTCTATCCCCTCAGGAGTGAACCTCAATAATCAACCAGGAGGCTTTTGGAGAAATCTCAGGTTGACATTTTTTCAAATAGGATATTTTAAAATAACAGCCTCAGGTAAAGATTTTGCCATTAAAGTATTATCACTAATTGGGCTGTACCAAAGTGCTGAGGTTTCCTGTGTTTTCATTTTCTAATCTTGATGATTACATAATTCTACATTGTCAGAAAAGCAGCAAAATTTGTGATTTCTGACTCCTAGTAAAATTTGCTTACCTCGGGCTCTTTGAAAGTTGTGAAACATGTTGAAGTCTCTCCCATTTAGCATTTACAAAATTTTTAACGGGAAGAAAAGAGCCTGACTCTCTCTTTCCTCCTCCCTGTGGTTCTGCACCTTTCTGCCCAGCGCGCTGAAACACTGGAATTGCTCAGAGTGGACCGTAAAGGTCACCCAGCGTTCACCCTAATGCCTAACCTCTGCTTCATCTCCTCCGCTGTTTTCTTTCTCTCAAGATTTAGGAAGACCAGCAGTCAAATGCATCCTAGCTGGAACAAAGATAGGTTAAGGTGACTCGCCCTGTCCTCTCTGACCGCGTAGCTATGGTGTCAGATCCCCTCCTCTGCCAGCCGCCTTAGTGCAGGTGCTTCAGACACAAGGCATTACCAGACCAGGCGATCTGTTCTCCACTACCCTCCGGGGACCAAGGGAGGCTCTCTGTGAAGTTGCCACCCAGCAAGAGTCAGGTTCTGTGCTAGCCAAGGCTCGATGGTGAGCTGCTGGGCACCGGCCACTTACCTCCCAGAGATGCTGCGTGTTCCTCACTGCGCCCGCCTGCACTTTCTCTGGGGGCAGCAGCACGCCCTGGAAGGGCCCAATCCAGGTGCCCTGCTGGATCCTCTGAGCGGCGCAGATGCCGTAAGCCAGGCCAGGCACGGTGCTGGTGCACAGGCACACCTCCCGCGGCAGGTCCCGCAGCCACTCCGGCAGCTCCGGCGGGGGCGCAGCGGCTGCGGCGCTGCTGGTGCCCACAAGCCGGCGCAGCGAGTGCAGGGGGCCGTGCATGGGGCACTCGCCGTTGCGGTTGTCCGCGCACATGTCGCAACCTGCGGGAGACACGCAGGAGGGAGGGAAGGGAGAGGGTTAACCTGGCCGCCCCGAACAGCCCATCCTAGTGTAAATCTCCCAAACCCCAAACAACAGCACCCCGTAGGCCAGGGTAAGCCACCTGGAAGGAGGTGACCGGGAGACCCCTCAGAATGGAAGAGAGGCCAACCCCCGCCGCTCCCTTGGAATTGGCTGCGTCTAAATCTGCCTGGCACGGCAGGGGTGCAGACCCTCCCCCAAACGCCCGCGGAGCTGTGTGAGGGTCGCCCCGCAGTCCTCTGCTCAGGACCCTCGATCCTCCCGGTTTCCGTCTCTGTCTCTCTCGCGCCCTTCCTTCCCTTCAGTCGCTGTATTCCTTCAGCTCTCTGGCTCATTCCCGTGGTTTCTCTCTCTCCGATGTTGGAGAGTGCATTTATCCTTGTACCACGAAAAAAGCCCATCTCTTCCCCAATCTGATTATCCCGGAGATTCTACCCTGGTCACCTAGGTATTTCATTTTCCTCTTTTTACAATTACACGGGAGACGTTTAACAATCACCGGGGCTACCAATCTGACGTAGGGCACCATTCGCACTCTCCTCGACCCAGGGACACACAGGAATCTTCCACCACCTCCCAAGCACCCGCAGGATAGGACAGAGCAAGCCTGGGGTCCCATGGAGCCCGAGCTGCACGCAGCCCCAAGCAGCTGAGGGCGCACCCGCGCCCGGGTCCTTCCATGGCGATGGCCCTATCAGTGCCCAATCTAGGCACTCCAGCCCGACAGGGACAGGTGGGGACTGGGGGTTTGCTCCGGAGGGTTTGTGTGCAAGTTTTTGTCAGACTACAAAAGGAAATGAATATTTAATTTAACGATCAGGGATCAGGGTAATGGGCCTTTAATGATCAGGGTAATGGTTCAATGGAGAGGGCCCCAACCACTGCCCCATGGTTGATCCCGAGGCTAAATGAGATTATCTTGTGTAGTAAACTGAGCTGTTGATGAAACTGTCTCTCTCTGACATTCCCCAGGGTAGCGGGCGCGGAAGGGACCTCCACCTTGGGCCGGGCGGTAGTGGGCGGTCAGTGTCCCTCGACTCGGACCGGGTGGGAAGGGGCCGATGGCAGCAGGAAGCAGGGCCTGCAGCGACGGTGCTGTCGGATCTCAGCGCCCTCCAAGTTATTAATGGGCCTGGCGGAGCCGCGGTGTCTGCGCCTTGGCGCAGTAGGGCCTTCCCCCAGGAGGCGGCCTCAGCGCCCGCTAGCGCGACCCAGCCTCCCGCCCCAGCTTCCCTGGGGAGTCACCGCAGCTCTGTGCAAGTGTCAGGGTTATGGCACTGGGGCTAACACCTGGCGAGTCCTGGCTGGAAGAGATGGTGAAACCGGAACTGGATGATGGGCACCTGTGCCTGGCTTGCTGGGTCACCCTGGATGTGCCCTATCTGTGGGAAATGGCCGAAACGCCCAAGGAACTTGTGAGTCAGTGAGAAACTTTCTAGGAACACGGAACCCAGCATGGCCAGGGAACCCTCCTTTTGCCATTTGCTTCACAACAACAAAGGTTGACCATGTGAGCAATCCTCCTGCAGTGGACTCCTGATCCAGCCAGCTGTGCCTTCCCCTCAGTCAGCAGTTCCTCCTGCACTCCTCCCAAGAGAGCCCAGGAAAGGGGGGGGGGCCCTCTGACTGCCTCTTCTTAGAGGTGTCTCTGAGCATCGTAGGTGAAAACAGCAACCTGTTTCCACAGCTAGTGAAATGTCCATGGCTCTCTGCCTCTCTCAAGCAAAGGTCCTCCTCTGCTCCCCTCTGCCAGCAATACAAACAAATGTTCAACTTATTCAAGGCTCCATTTTCTAACCCAGGTCCTAGATGGGAGTATTCTCATGCTTACCTGTAACACACACACTTTACATACCCTCTCAAGTTTTTGATTGTGAAAATCAAAACTTTAAGACATTTTGGGAATAGAAAGAAAGTCCATAATACCCCAATTACCAATGGCTATCAGCCAGGCACCTGTCTTGAACCAAACAACCATTATATTATCTAAGTATCATGTTCCCATTTTACGGATGAGGCAACTGAGGATTCACAGTACTGTAACTTGATCAAGGACCAGAAGCCAGAAGATGGCTGGAAGAGAAAGGATCATTCCCTCAGGTCTGCCTGACTCCACAGCCTCCAGGAATTTGATGGAATTCCTTCCAGACATGTGGGAAGACTAATGAAAGCTGGAAGAATTTTGTATCCAAACTCATGATTCAATCAATAGAACTGAAATATTTCACTGCAGAAACTGTTTTATTTGGGGGTCGCAATAATTTCTGTAACATGATTGAGTTACCCAAGTTTCTCTCTTTCCCACACTCTTGAGTTTGGGGACATAAAGAAAGAGAATGAAAAGGCAAGTAAATAGATAATGTCCATAATTGCGACTGTTAGTGTTTGACTTTAGATGTAAACCTTTCAGCACCTTAGCAAAAATGTCTAAAAACAAATGGTGATAAGCAAAGGCAATATGCCCATGGAAATAAAAATAAATCACCCCAGGGAGTTGGTTTAACGGATCTTTCCTTTCTGGTTGACTCAATGAAGCAAAGGGTAGAAGCAAGAATATTTAGTATCCATTCCCCCAGCAGCCTCTAACAGAGACTGGGTTGACTTGCAACATCACCACATGTAGTGTCACATCATCTACACCAGTAATAAAGAGTAAAGGTAGCAATTCCAGCCACTGCCCCACAGACAAGAAACACACACCTGATATTCGTCATATATGATAACGAAACTACAGCCAAGTCCTTTATCCAAGTAGTTCTCCAAAAGCCCTCTTTAACTTGTTTTATTTATGTCCACAAAGTGTTGAAAAAACTTAAACGGTAGCATTTTGCATAGGGAAAAAACTGAGTTTTCCCCAGCAGTAGAAGACTGCGTGTATGTTAGGTGCATAGCAGAGCAGAGCAGGCCAATCCACTTTAATTATTCCACCCATCACTAGTCGTCTTAATTTGTGAAGCACTTCATGCCTTATCAAAATATTCTGCCAGAAAAGCTGACCAACTGTCATAAAAATATACATTCTGTTCTAATTTTTTTTTAATATACAGAATATCCCAAGCTGAAAACATTTGGGTGCTAACCTGTACCTCAGAAATCCAGGAGAGCTTGAGGAACAAGTAACATTTCCTGGGGTTGACAAATATGACACAAGGAGACAAACAGGCAAAACAAAGTATTTTCTAGACATAAATATCTCTATGAAAAGGTTTGAGGGGGAAGCCAGCTTCATGCTTTACCTATAAACATGTATAATATACAATGTATATCGTCATATCTTATACGTACACACACACAGCATTAAGCAACACATAATACAAGTCTTTCTGTATTTATAAAGAGAAAACAAATGTTCCTACTTTTTTACACGTTCATAACTGTTATTCATCAAGAATTAGCTATATTTGTGAGAGACGGTCTCATATTCTTTAAGAAAAACTCTTTGCAACACCATTTTAGCATTAAAGAATATAAGAGATCAGGATTCCTTGCTATCTCGAATAGATTTATTGGTGCTCCTGTCCATAGATTCCAGACCTGTTCGTTTCCTGACTTCAGAAAGCCAGGCCAAGTGAAGCGAAGGGCAGACCAGACGTTCCCTATGTCATATCCTTCCGTGTCGTTTGTCTTTACAAGTGACATACTACTTTCATAATTTTAAAGGCGTCTATTTTAAGGTAAAGGGGGCAAAGCAGGCCAAAGTTTCCTGTTCTAGAATGTCATTCTAGAAAGGTGAAATATAAAACGCTTCAGTCATTTTGGCGTCTGAGAGGCCGACAGGCGCGTGTGGGCGCGTGCAGAGTATCCCCCACACCAGGTCGTCACTCCCCAATGAATCCCCGACGTCTTATTTGGCCCTCACCCGCTCTCTGTATAGGGAACCAAGGAGTAGCTGGAAAGCCCGCTTCCTCGGAGGGCGGCGAGACCCGCTCGGGCAGTAAATCCTCCCGGACCGCCGCAGAGGTCGCGGCCCTTGGTCCCGCAGGCCAAGCCCTGCGGGGCCGTCGCCCATCGATCCCGCCCAGGCGCTACGGCCCCCGGAGTGCCGCCTGCTGGCAGCGCCGCGTGCGCCCCAGAGGGGGGCTGGGCTGACCCGCCAAGGACCAGCAGAGCGCCCGCAGGGAACCTCCAGCGCAGGGTTCACGCCCCAGCCTGCGCTCGCCCCCTGCATTCCGCACCCCCAGCTAGATGGGGGTGGGGGCAGAGGCGGGATGCGCGGGGTTGGGTGCCCTGGCCTAGCCCCAAACCTAAGGCTGCGTTTTGAAGGCCTCGCCCGCTCCTGCCCTCGAAGGGGCTCTCTTCCAGCACCAGGCGTGGCCAGTGACGCCACCCCCACCCCTGAGCCCCTTCTGCGCCCCGCCACCCACCCGGCCCTCCTCCTCCACCAGGATGGGGTCTACCAAGATCCCAGAGCTGATCTAGAAACAGATCAAAAGGCGAGGCGGGTTACCCGGCCGCCGACCAGGGGCGCCGATTGCGGTCGCGCCCAGCTCACGGGGAGTCTGCTCCAGGACTTTCCCTCCACCCGAGTGAAACCCCCCACCCCCCGCGAAACCCCAGAAGCGCTGGGCTCTTTCTGCCCCGCCTGGCTGGGGGCTTGGCCCTGGGACCTCGAAGGAGAGAGACAAAGAGGGCGGAAAGAAGGAGGGAGGGAGAAAACGTGGGTTTTATTTGTCTCCCGATGACTGTATTAATAAATTAAATGGGAGCGCCAGTGTGTGAGGGTGAGAGAATATTGCGTGGAGATAAACCTCGCTGGCCCCTGCCCCTGCGAGGCCGCCATATACAATGCGGAGATGATGAATAGGAGCCGCGAGAGGAGATCGAAGCGGGTCTGGGCTGGCTCCACTCTCTCCTACAAAACTATAGGGCAATTAATTGTGGCTTGTCCCCTCATCCTTCATCTCCTGGTGGCACATATCGATGGAGATTACTGCTGATGGACCATTTTATCACCTTAAATAAACAGTCGCCACCTCTTCTAACCTCAATCTAATATATGGCTCTATGTTCAGTTTTAGGGCGCTAGATAACGAAAGATGTAAAATAGTTAAATCATGTGTGTTACTGGATGGGGCTGAGCTTGCACACAAAAAGAAAAAGAGAAGAAAAATAGAATACGAAAGCCCACACACCGATGCTGAAGCTCCCTCCCACTAGACCATGTAAGTTGCTGGCTGCTCGCTGACAACGGAGACGCTGGGCGGTAGCGACACAGCGAGATGTGCCTCGGTGCCACGAACAGCCCGCTAGTGGCCTAAAGCTCCCCAAACAGACTTGCATCTTGGAACTGGGTGGGAAGACATTACTGGAAAGTCAAAAAACCACTCACCTTCCTTTCATCTCTTTCCCTAACCCCATAGCACACTTCCCACAGACAGACAAACCAGTGTTGTGCCCACATTTCCTTCTCTCTCCCCAGAACCTCTCCCCAAATCCTTAAAAAGAAGACGCAACCAAAAAATGAAGCCTGGGGTCCTGCTCCCAAACCTGTTCAAACACCAGCCAGCGCTGTTCCAGGTGCTGTTCCCTGCACAGGAGGTCTTCTGCAAATGGAAAGAGGACAGAGCCCCTGCCCTAGCTGGGAAAGACACAGGGTGGCCTAACTCTGCTGAGACAACCGAGAAGAGCTCTACTCCCATTTCCCTCCCAAGTAATACAGAGGAACATCTTCACAAAAAGGTATGGAAAGTTATTCTGTAATAAGCTCAGCTGACAGGAAACCCAGGATCCTCCTTAAAAAAGCCAACACAGCTCCCAGAACCCAAGCAAAGGCCCATGCCTAGGAGCAAGCAGTAGTAAATAAGGGCAGTAGTACAAGAAGGGGAAGAAAGGGCCCCATCCCTCATTTATATTACACCTCGCACCACTTGACTTTTAAGAGAAGAAAGCTTCAGGAGCAGCTCAGTAAACATTCAGAGCTTCAGTAGAAAGTATACTTCAGTCACAGAATAAATTGATACAGTTAGATAATAAACATTCTAGAAGAGCTCCCCTGGGCTAGTTTGCACAGTTTCTGCGGTTTTAAAATTCTTTTGTGTTTGAGAGGACTAAAGCTCCTTCACTGTGGCATTTGCCATAGATGCCAATAAAGTTTCAAGGTGAAACAAGCATTGGTAACTTCTTTCCTTACAGAGCAATGGTGTCCTGTATTGCTGATCCCAGGCAAAAAGTTACTTAGCTACAGGGAAGAGAGAGGTTATTTGTGTTTGTTTTGCCTTATATGAAAAAGAGAAAATGACTCAATGCTTTTTAAAGTACAAAGTGACAAAATGAAGCAATGTTGAGTGATCACTTCACAGCCTTTCTTATGGAAAAAAGGAAAACTAAGGAAACCTAGGTATGGCAGATTAATAAGAGTTTCCCCCCTGCCTCTACCCTGCCTCTCACCTTATCCTTTCTCAGAACTCAGGAATCAGGAGAAGCTTCTGTTTTTAAGTCTTTCAAGTAATGCTGTCCCCACCCCTTTCACCCTGTCAAGGGTCAGAGAAAAGTTTCTCAATCTTTTGCTTTTCTGAATTGTTCTGAGCCCCTAGTTAGGCTCAATCACTTTCATCTCTGTAAAACACATCCCATGGTTTCAAATGAGTGCCTAAGCTTGCTTGCCCAGAGAAGTTCCTGGAAGAATGAAAGACCTGGTCTCCCAGCATTACAGACCTATCTCAGCATTACAGACCTATCTCAGCTTTCTATTTTCTTTCTCAATTGCCCTTTAATTAGTGAGCAGGGTGGGGTCCCTCTAACAGGATAATCTAACCTCCTTTCCAGTCTTTCGCCCTGCACACTAACGCAGTCCGGTGGACTCAAAAAGGAGATACCAGAAGGTCAACACAACAAATAAGAATAATTTAAATAAATTCATAATTCACTTCCTCCAACTACAAAAAAGTTACCTAGGCAGTAAACTGGTTCAATAGTCATATATTAATTAGGAATCTATCCTAATTCTTTCTCTGATTAGTCTAAGTTTCCTCTAGTGAAAATGTATTAAATCTCAATACTGCATTGTAAACAGTCTAGGGAGCTCAGCGTACAGCCAGGGCTTTGGGTGTGTTGCTCATGTCTTTCCGCTCGCAGATTTAATTCAGAAGAGAAACTACAAGCTTGCTAAAACACTTCCAGTAAAATAACTGTATTTTACTCAGTAGCAAGAAATGCCTTTTCCAAAGCCTTTCAAATCTTTTTATTTCACATTAAAAAAAAATTAATTGCTTTGAAAACAACACATTCAAGAAATTCAGGAGGAAAAAAGTATTTTTGGAAATCCATTTAGACAATCTATAATTTCACAAAATTTCTGGAAACTGAAATATAATAGTCCTCTTAACTGCACATCGGAGCCCCCATTTTAAACCAGCTCTTTACTCTCAGACTCTAGAAAGGAAAAAAGTAAATACAATTGTTCCTTTTTGTTGGCAATTATCTTTAACATTAAGAAAACATTAATATACCTCGGTCACTAGGCTGATGCCCAGTGTTTTTTCATCAAAGCAACGACTTTGGGAATTCTTTAAATGGCTATAACTGAAGTTATTTTGCTTTTACAATGAATTAAGGAGTTCACGGAGTGGTAGACATTCTGCCAGAAGCAACTCCTTCAAAATAGAATAAAAACAAATGTTTATGATCAACTTTTCTCATTCAGCAGCCAGACAAAGGAATAAAATGAAGAAAATAACTAAATCAAGGCTAATCTTTCAAGTCCCATACTGCTTTCAATACGACTCTCTTAACTGGTTTTAATGTTATCTCTAGAAGTCTCTGAAAGTATATTTTACACTTACCGCAAAGGTTGGGTGTAAACACACATTATATCCGCTGAAACTACCCCAAAAGAAGCAGATAGGAAGCGATAGACTTGATCTCCATCTAGAGTTTTGCTTCAAAATGGAAACTGTATTTGTGATAAGCGTTTGAAAATTGTGAATACAGGAACCCAAGCTAGGGAGTCTTCTATTTAGTTAGGCATTTGCTATTTACTTGAAGGACAAAGGAGTAAACTTCTTTTACTAAATTACTATCACCCGAATTTCTAAAATAAATAAATAAACCAACACGAATTTCAAACGTTTGCAGGGTCAAGGGTGCGCGGAGAATGTGGGATCCGCAGAGAATGACTCTGACCTAAGTCGGAAGTTTTCTTCTCTGTAAGTATAGGCAGTTTTTTCTTTTCCTTCTTTTCTAAATAAATAGTAGACCTAAGCATCACGCCTGCCTTAAAGAAGAGACAGACTCGGTGTCACCCAAAATTCCTAGTCCAGCAAGGCCCTGACAGCCAGAAGCTCCCAGCGGTCTCCTTACAAGCCCGAGGCCCGAAAGCGACTTGACCGCAGTTAACTTCAGAGGTAGGGTAGAGAGAAGTAGAAGCAAGCCCTGGTTTCCACGCTCCCCCAAAACTCCAAGCGTCCCTCCCTAGTCCCAACTAGGGCCAGGCGGGGCCGTCCAGGCACTCCCTGCCGCGCGCAGCCAGTACCCACCCGGCCCTGGGCAGTGTCCTGCAGGAGGACGGAAGTCTATATTGACCCCCAAGTACTTGGGACTGTAAAGCTGGGGCTGAGCAGAGGAGAAGGGAGGTAACCCCGAAGTGCCACCCTGCCATCCTGTACGATCTCCTTTCTTCTCCAACGCCAGAAAACTTTTGCCACAGTGGTCTGGGAGGCACATGGAGGGAGCGGAGCGGTCCAAGCTCCCTCCTTCATCCACCCGGGTGTCACCCTCATCCGACCCGCCTCCCGGACTGGCGCCCGGGCTCGCCCGCGCCGGCGCCCCTGGAGAGAGCGCGCGGGCCGCGGCTACGTACGGTTGTTGGGGTCGCTGGTGTGCTGGTTGAGCGGGATGATCTCCATGCGCTGCTGGCCGTACAGGTAATAGTCCAGCTCCTCCGCGCTGCAGCGGAAGCGCGGGGCGCCCCGGCCATCCCCGCCGCCGCTGCCGCACTTGGCGGGCCCCGGGCCCGAGGCCGCGCCGAGGCACAGTTCCTTGGGGGGCAGAGGCTCAGCGGCGACGGCGGCAGAGGCTAGAGGCGCGAAAACCGGCAGCTGCGACACCGGCAGAGCCGAGAGACCTGCCAGCGCGGCTGCAGCGGCGGCGGCAGCGCAGGAGGAGGCAGAGGAGGCCGAGGTGGAGGAGGGACCCGGGGTGGACGAGGTGGAGGAGAGAGAGGCGGGCCGCGGGCGCAGGCTGTCCGGTGGAGGCTCGGCGCGCTCCGGAGGCGGCGGCGGCGGTGGCGGCGGCTGCAGGGGCTGCGGTGTGCCCAGGGGACCCACGCCGCCGCCCTTAAGCGGGCCACCGCCGCCGTGCGGGAAGAGCTGCTGCCAGTGCTGCAGGTAGGCTGGGTCCACTTTGAGAAACGCCGAGCCGCCGGGGTCTCCCGGCTTCAGCATGTCCGACGCCTCGAGCTGGGGGCAGAGGGCAGGGAGGAGGGTGTGCGTGAGCTGGACCCACGGCCTGGGCGAGAGGGGATGAGAAGAGGGTCGCCGGGACCTCGAAGCGAGCGCCAGAGGCGGTGTCTCCGCCAGCCGCAGCCCAGATCTGCAGCTCCCTCTTCCCAACTCCGCCGGGGCACAAAGTTTACTCCGAAGCCACGGCGCCGCGCAGAGGGAGCTGCGAGCACCCGCCTCCGCCTCCCAGACAGCGGCGCCCAGCTCCCACTCCGCGAGGCTGGAATCCGGCGGGACGTCGCCTCCCCGCACAACTCCGCCGCTGCAGGATGCAGCCCCCGCCTTCGGCCAGCGCCGGGAGCCGACCCCACCGGAGTGGCGCAGCTCCGGAGCCGCGCTGGCCTCTGGAGCCAGGAGGCGGGACAGTCTCGCCCCCCACCCCGCCCCCAGCCTAGGACCTCCAGCCTCCCCATGTTGGGGGCCTTAGACCCTCAGTCCAGGATGAGCTTCACCTTACCCGAAAACTCGGAGCTGCTGGTGGGTGCGTGCGTGAGTTTCGGTGAGAGTGCGGGAGAGTGTGCACCCCGAGTGCGCTACATGTCTATGGGCAGAGCGGGAGGAGAGCCCTAGAGATCCGGCCTCCTGGTGCACTTCTGGCCTGAAAGCGAGGGACGTGGAGGCCCGCGGAGGGCGCGGGAGCGCGGACAGACCTGGGCGCGGGACCGAGCCGCCGTGGGCTGCTGCGCGCGGTCGCCGCCTGGTCCTGGCTCCTTGGCTCCACGCTCTGGCAGCCTCCCGGTTGGACACGTGGGTTTTACGACAGCACAAAATACAAGAGCGTGTGTGTGTGTGTGTGTGTGTGTGTG